TGCAATTTCATGAAAAATTGATAATTTTGCTGCGTCCATATTGAATTTTAGTTCAGGATCTAAGTTGTAGGTGTCCGATGGAACAAAAGTAGCGAAAGTTTCGACGCCGTGTTGCCATATCTTAAAATTGTCTTGAATTTAGAGGAAAATATATTATTATACATATTTACAATTTACACAAATATAAATTATATATACAAGGAGACGTATTTCGTATGTAGAATACAAAAAAACTAAAATATAATGGAAAAATTTTTAAAATTATGATTTTGTTATGAATTCTGCCGGGAAAGACGAATTTAAAGCTGCTGCTTCTCCTATTTTATTCAATTCTCAACTTGATTCGTCTTCAAGTAAGTTATAATAATATTACTGAGGCCCTTCCTATGGGGCCCGTCAGTATTGCATTCATGCAGACGAAAAAATTTTCTTATCCCCATTTTCGTCTGGTCGTCTATGTGTATGTATGCCGGCACGATAACTCTAGAACGAAAGTTCTGATTGACTTACGGTTTTGATTTTCTTGAATAATTACTTCTAACTTAGAATCCTATTGATTTTCAGAATTTTCGGTTCATCCTAACTACTTTAATATCAATTTTGTTAAAATCCGCATATGCATTTCTTATGTGACAATTTTAGGAATTCCAATTTTTTCTAACGTCAATATTCCTAACATTTTTAACATTCGATAGCCATCGATAGCTGTTTTATTATTAGAAATACGAAGAAATGTTTAATATAAAAGTTGTATGACCATATTTAACAAATATTGTTAAATGTACAGGGTGGCAAGGGCGGCTCCAGGGGGGGCATAGGGGCTATGGCCCCCCAAGAAGAAAATTCTTACGATTTATGACATTCCTGTACATAGATTGCTGTCAATGTTAATAATTTATTTTGTTTAAACTTTCCTCTACATGAGTCTCCTACTTTCAAACTTAGAGTTTAAAAATTATTGCTATATTGTATATCTTCCTTGACAAAGTAAAATAAATCTTAGTGCTTCCTGGAAAGAAAACATTTTATGAAAATATAAACTATTCCAAAGAGTTTCTTGTATCTTCTGAAAAATACCAATGAAAGGAATTATACTTATAGAATGATTATATTGTAAATTTTCTTCCTACTGAATGTAGTGAAAGATAGAGTCTAGAAGAGAATTATAATTTTCACATACTGGATCAGGAAATTAAAGTTATTCCACCGACGTTGTATCGCCGACATTCCTCCAGAAGCTGTAGAATAGATTATTCAATTTACAAAGAAGACATCTATAAAATATTTTAAATTCAGAGAAAAAAAGTTATGCTAAAAATAATAGGTAAATTTAAAAATGCCCGTTTGTAGAAAATATTTATGGCACATTTATTAATGAGAAGTTTGTTAATCAAGAAAAAGTCAGAGGAGGTTATTCTTTAAAATTGTTTATAAATTGGTGCGAGAGTGCAAATAGCACGCACATATTGGTTTATAATTTTTCTTCTAGGGTATATTGTGGAGTTATAAATTAATATTTTACGGGTTTTGTTAACATCTTGTCTATATTGTCTTTTGCCTTGGTACCAATGCTAACGATTTGCCGTGGTCTTTTATTGACGAATTTATTATTCTATTTGATTATTCTATATAATAAATATTTACTTTCTCCAGATATCTCATTTATGTAGCTATGAATTCATCATTAGCTGTAGGATACTTTTTTTGGTGAAAACATAATATTAATTCTATTAATTTTTTAACGAATTAAATCATATATCTTTGTATTAGTTGTAGTTTCAACATTTGTATTTATTACATAGTAATTATTATATAATTATCATAGTACTGTTTTTAAACCTGTCAAATTGTTACAAATATAAATATTGTAAATTAAATATTTTAATTAGATTTTCTAAGAATTATGTTCATATTTATTTTCTTTCTCAATTTCTTAGTTTTTTTTTATTACTTTATTAAATTATTGACTTCGTTTTGAGAACCTCGTATTATATAAACAAATTTGTAAATACCGTATTAATTTAAAATAACAAAGAACATTTTTACCAATTTAATCTACACAACTTGTGGCATTATTCATTTAAAATTATATCTAATATTAAAATCTACTACAAATCATTATTTTATTCTAAAGAAAATTTTCAAATTCGTTTATCTAGTACACTTTAAATTTTTATTACGTTTTTTATTCAATTCTGACAAATAATATTTTACAAAAATACCTACTTAACTGTTAACTGTTTTATTGTTTACAGGCACATTTTCTACATATTGCATTTAAATCTAATTAACTTTTCTTTTATAATAATTAAAATAATGTTTTTAAACTATCAACTGATTATATCCATAATTCGTAAAAAGAGTTTGAGCTATCGGAATATTTTGTAGAATTCAACGAGAAAGTTCAATACTGCAAATCGCATATTCATAGTTCAACCAGTTGCCTAAATATTTAATTTTAATAATATTAAATTCTTTAATACAAATTAAACCAAATTAAATCAAAAATCCCATTCTACCTCAAATGTAAGTGCCTCAAAATCTCTGTTAATTTATTAGCTATAGACTCGGCAAAGTTACTTAGAACATTTACTTCACCTAGTTCCTTCGCCATTTTATAAAATTATTTAACTAAAATAATTAATTTCCTCGACCTTTCGCCAAAATTTAAAGTAGATCATTTTTCGAAAATTTGTAATAAACTAAGAAAATAGTAGATAACTGATTATACCTACCAAAAAGTAAATTGATATGAATATTCCCACTTAGATTATTGTCAATCAAATTTCCTAAATATTTTATTTAATTTGAAGGATTAATTTTATCGCTTTTTGGATAATTGATTCAAATGATGAGAGAAATTGTAGAAATAAAGTTTTTTTAAAGTTATAAGTTTTAATATGTGCTTTTTAGCTTTGTTTTTAAGACTAAACCAATAAATATCGGCGAAACTTATTATTTTACTATTTATCTCTAATAAAAATAAGTTGTTGAAATAAATTATAAAAAGTATTAGACCTAATACCGTACCTTGAGGGATACTACATATAACTGTTTCCTATTTAATAATATGTTGATTTATTTTAACTTTTTGTTTTCTATCGATTAAATAACTTTAAAACAAATTATGTGCCATTGTCTCGCCCTTATATCTTCTAACGTGGTTAGAAGAAGGGTGTGATCAACAATGTCAAATGCCTTTGATAAATCAACGAACACATGCCTTTATTTAAATCAATATTGAGATTCTCATGATATTTTATATTTATTTAGAACACTAGTTAGTCTAGTTTTTATTAGTTTTCAAGAAATTAAAGAGATGTTTGTAATTATTCATGGTACTTTTCTATCAGTTGTTAAAAATTGGTGTAACAACTAATACTATGAAGACAGAAAGATATATTCCAGTTAAAAGTATTTTATTAGCTATGATTGACAAAGGATTCCATGTATTCTGATATAGAATTTGATATTTCTGGTTTAAGACCTCCTCCTCTTGGTGAATTTTTATTTTTTAATTCTGAAATAAGTAATTTTATTTCGTGTGGATTTATAGACCAGAAAAAAATTAATAATTATTTATATTTCTAGATTCCTCATAAATTTTGTTTATATTTCTTTAGTGTAGTTGATTTTGGGTTTGTAGGGACTTCGTTTATTTGTCACATCAATTTTGAATTATCTTTTTCTTTCTCTATTTATTTCTTGTAATATTTATTTTAGTTTTTGTTTTTAATTAGTATACTCCCTGAAAATAAAAACACTTCATCTATAACTATACTAAATATGTTTAAAAATAACGTCTTTCCAGATAAAATATTTTATTTACCGTAAAAGTAAAGGTAAAATAATTAATCTGAACATTGTTTTTTCAGTGTATACTTTTAATCCTTTTTTTTTTTTTATATTAAAAGAGACACTAATAAATTAATTTTGAAAGAATCCTACCAGGCTTATAACAAATACATTTAAGATTTTTTCCATATTGTTTACATCAGTTCCGGCTCTTCTAAATCTGCAAACGCTTATTTCTTATCTTATAGGCACTCCGTATAGCCTTGTTTCTATAGAAAGTCTGTTAATTGCCATCCTCCTTACCGGTTTCGTTTTTTGCAGAGGTATTTTCCCACTGCATGAATCATTTAACGTTTACACGAAATCTCGGATTTGCCTCGATCACGAGACCACAAAACTGTCAAGATTTAAACAAAAATACGAAAAATTATTGGACTGGAAATGGGTAACCTTAATTCTTTCGACGACTATTTTATTTTAATCAATTGTTCGTAGTGTAAATCCGGAACGTGTCCTCAAATAAACGCTATTTTTTCGCGGCAAAGGAAATTCGAGTTCTTTGAACTTAAATTATTTATTTTGCAATGTACGGGGTATTCCTGAAAGGATGAAAAAAGGATAAACTTATTATAATGTGTAGTTGAAAGAATATGAGGTGTCTGAATAAATGTGTTATTGACCAGGGGCGTTTTCTCCATTGGTTCATTAATGCATAAAAACAAAAATAACATAATATAAATTCATTATTTTCGTTCACGGTTATCTCTACTTTTTAAGTGCCCCTCTGTGCTGTGCTATGCCTAGTCAGTATCGGTGCAATATACCTTAGAGATACACGTGAATGCACCTACACTACCTGTGAAGAACTAAATCCAGATTCAAAAACAAAATCTTTTAAGATCACTGCAAACCAAGAAACAGAAAACGGTTTATGGCAAGAATACATTGTACGTTTTGATGGAGAATGGAAATTTCTGTTTCATTGGTATTTGGTAACTTCTAAATTTTGATTCATTTGTTCCTTATCTCTCAGGGATTCCTCGAAAAAAGTTATTGTTGGTGTTTATTCTATGATGATATGGTTTGAAGTTAAAAGGCATTACCGTGATCCCGTTTGGCCAAATGTTTTCTTGCCATAAACCATTTTCTGTTTCTTGGTTTGCAGTGATCTTAAAAGATTTGTAAGTTTTTGTTTTTGAATCTAGGTTTAGTTCTTCACAGGTAATGTCGATGCATTCAAGTGTATCTCTAAGGTATTTTTGTATTTCTAAAGTATTAGTATCTAAAGAGAATGGTTTTATAAACAGATTGGCTTTAGAAGTCAAGTCTTTTGAGTATGCTTTGATTGTATCAGGTAATTTATCATTTTTCCCTCTGATGGATTTAGTTTTAAGTTGTTATTATTGGTACACGGATTGGTGCCATCTTCTGTTGTTTGAGCTTGGGAAATTAGAGAGTTTGTGTTTTTGTCTAGATTTGTTTTAATAATTTTATTATGATGAGTTTCTTTTGAATGAACTATTGGTACATTTTGTCTTTTTTCAGCATGTTTTTCTTGTACCGAGATTGTTGTTGAAACATTTTTTTGGAGCTTCGTTGAATAGCCTAACTAGATCTTCATTTGATTCTCGTAAGTTTACCATTTCATTTTTAAGTCGTTTTATTTCATTTTTTAGATGAAACCTGGTTTGACACTCACGACATCATAAAAAAATGTTGGACTGATGGAAGTTTAAAATGTAATGTAGACACTTCTCCATCTCGAGGAAAAAGAATATGCATTTTATATTGTGGTGGAGAATCAGATTGGGTAGAAGGAGCTCTCTTGCTGTCTGCAAAGGATGTACGGGATAGTAGTTTGGACTACCACCAGGACATAGAAAGTACTCTTTTTGAAAAATGTTTTGAGAGCACACTACTACCAAAACTAAATGAAAATAGCGTAATAGTTTTAGATAATGACCCGTACCATTCTCGGTTGGTACGAAAAAAAGCAAATTCTACGAAATCTGTGATTCAGGACTTTCTGATGGAGAATGATATATTTTTGAAGAAAACTAAAGAAAAAAATATTTAATAGAACTTTTACACTTGGTTGATTTTCAACCTGAATATGTTATCGATACCATAGCAATAAAGTTTTACGTTTACCACCTTACCACTGTATTTTGAACCCCATAGAATTATTATGGTCACAGTTAAAAAATTATTCTCTAAGTCCACTTCTTCTATAATTGATGTAGTAAGAAATGTATTTAACTGTATAACTGTTGAAAACTTAAAAAACGCTATTCAACATGTTAAAAAAATCGAAGAGAAATATATGAATAAAAAAACCAAAAAAGGTTGACAGCTGTGTGCACGTAGTTTAGATTCAAAAAGAAAAAACTTGTATTTCGTGCAAAACTTTTTTATTAATCAATGCAAAGCGCTTTCGGCTTATTTGCCATCATCAGTGCTCATCTACAAAAATTGTGGATGTAAACTTACAATTTAAAAAGATTTTAAAAAAATATATTATAAAATCTGAATTAGACTTTTAAGTCAAAAGTTAAAATAGTATATATACAATTGTTTGAACAAATTAAAAATTACAAGAAACAAACAAAGTGACAAAAAACTGGTATTGGGAATAGTGAGTGTAGGATAAGCCCTTACAAATCAAATCTGATCTCCAGAAGCAAGTTAGCTTGTGTGGAATTAAGGAATCATGCCACCCTCACTATTCACAAAATTGAAAAAAGGTTAACAAATTAGTTAAAATTTAAAGAAATTTACAATTAGAGGGTGACTGTGGAAGATATATTGAAATTTGAATCTAGAATGCAATATTTGATATGAAGAAAGTAAAACGCAGAAGGCCAAAGTAAAAAAACTGAAGGTTTTTTTTTATTTTATTTATATGTTTTATATACATTATAATTATGAAAAAGTCTACCTACTGTCTACAACGTATCCAACAAGTTCCTGGTCATCCTCACTCCCAAAATTATATATTTCGGGATATTTACAACTTGCTAAATCATAATTTTATTAATATTAATATTTTCAAATTTAAATTTATCTCTTCATTTTGGTTCAAGTTGTTTAACCGTTTCCACATGACAGTGGTGACAAGCGACACTTGAAGACTTTGACTTGTCAAATGTCAACAGAAGGAGGTGCGTTCACCTCAGTGTGGAACATGTTTCTCCGAGTGTGATTCGAGTGATTGGAGGTTAACGGAGATCAAAATTTGTTATTGAATTTAAAGATTTAATTTATTGTTAGTTAAATTTAAATAAATGTTTAATATAAATGATATTATTATTTTGATGTCAAGACATTTGACATTTGACAAGTCAAAGTCTTCAAGTGTCGCTTGTCACCACTGTCATGTGGAAACGGTTAAACAACTTGAACCAAAATGAAGAGATAAATTTAAATTTGAAAATATTAATATTAATAAAATTATGATTTAGCAAGTTGTAAATATCCCGAAATATATAATTTTGGGAGTGAGGATGACCAGGAACTTGTTGGATACGTTGTGGGCAGTATGTAGACTTTTTCATAATTATAATGTATATAAAACATATAAATAAAATAAAAAAAAACCTTCAGTTTTTTACTTTGGCCTTCTGCGTTTTACTTTCTTCATATCAAATATTGCATTCTAGATTCAAATTTCAATATATCTTCCACAGTCACCCTCTAATTGTAAATTTCTTTAAATTTTAACTAATTTGTTAACCTTTTTTCAATTTTGTGAATAGTGAGGGTGGCATGATTCCTTAATTCCACACAAGCTAACTTGCTTCTGGAGATCAGATTTGATTTGTAAGGGCTTATCCCACACTCACTATTCCCAATACCAGTTTTTTGTCACTTTGTTTGTTTCTTGTAATTTTTAATTTGTTCAAACAATTGTATATATACTATTTTAACTTTTGACTTAAAAGTCTAATTCAGATTTTATAATATATTTTTTTTAAATCTTTTTAAATTGTAAGTTTACATCCACAATTTTTGTAGATGAGCACTGATGATGACAAATAAGCCGAAAGCGCTTTGCATTGATTAATAAAAAAGTTTTGCACGAAATACAAGTTTTTCCTTTTTGAATTGGAAATATATGAAATTTAATAATACAATTCAAAAAATTGAAATAAATTTGGATGATACTGATGATGATAGTGATATTATTTCAGAACATGAAATTAGTGACTGTGAAAGTGATTTAGAAATATAGACGTTTTTTATAGACGTTTTTAAATTCATTTACCTACATTTCTACACAATAGATCTTAGTGAAATATTCTTTTTAAATTAATACTTAATAATTTTAGTCAGTAACAAAATTCCAGGTTAAACTTTTTGAATAGATTAACCTCTTTTTATAGCTGTTACACGTTTGTTAAATTTTCCGAAGGGGTTTTAGTACCCCCTAACTCCTCTTAGTATCTACGGTCTTGAATACAGAATGTCGCAGTATTATACATACGTGCGCAAGACTGTTTATTCTACTTTTGAAGAGGTCGATGAACCGATACGCTCGTTGCGAATTTTTGGCACTTGGCACTACTTTTCTTTAAATCGCTTAGAGCGAAGATCGATTTAAAAAAATCGTTACTTTATTGGTGATTGTTCGTCCGGTTACCTAACAATCCACAGCCGCAGCTTTCCAGGTCGTACTCGCATTAGACTTTGTTATTGATAAGTTGCTTTGTATATAAGTTCGTTCTCTATGCATTTGAATAGACATATAATATTTCTGACCTTTATAAAATCATAGATCAGGATAATAAATAAAAATCCGCTAGGTTATGACCTGTCAGAAGTATTATAGGTTATTTTAGCTAAAATCAAGTGAAATATACAACTGAAGATACTCATAATTCCATTCATATGTAAAAGCATCATTTTGAAACACAAAAATCGAGAGTCAGCGGAGCTTTCTACGAAAAACATTTACGAAAAACCGAAAATCCAGATATTCATTCACCGGCACGAAAAACGGCCACCTCGATAATTTTTTATAAGAATGCATTAATTTTTTTAATTTGTTTTTTGATTCGGTTTTAATCATTTGGCCAACAGAGAACACGGTTTAATAAAATACCCTGAACATTTTTTAACATGAAATGCCTTCCCAAATTGAATATATTCCAGATATTGAACGATAATCTCAATAATGCAAAAGTTATCATATTGCCCTTACTTCAGTGTTCCAAGTAGGCTATGCATTTTCAATGATTTTCTCGATGACATTTGTGTATGGTAGCTTAAATAAATTACTGCCGTTCTTATTACTTGCGTTAACGAAAGTCTCTAAACAGGTTGACAGCAAACACGCGATCATAAAACGTTCGGATTTTTAAACATGGCGTCCTCTGTTAGCAGAAATCGCAAACAAAACATAAAACTATAATTTAACAAAAGATATTAACTTATTTACAGGTATCTTCAATTCACAAGGATCTTAATACCAGGCACTAAATTGTAAAGTGTCCATTACTGTGTTAGGTTTCAAAATTGTTAACGGTTTAATTGATTCTCCTGAACTGTTGAGAAAAATTGATATCTGCATTCCGAGAGTATCCTCTAGAAATTCTAACATATTTCACATATCTGTACCACAAATGTTCTGAAAAATTCTCCATTTCATACTATTAGCCGCGTTGTGAATAGTGTGAGTAGTGACATTGATATCTTCTCATGCAAACTCAGGGAAATAAAATGTCATTTCCTAACATAAAAAAAATTGTATTGTATTGTATTTTACCTACTAGCTGTTTACTAATTGTTGTATATTTTGTACCACTTAGTCTATATAATGTATGTGTACTTTTATTCCTGCTCTGTAATGGGGATTGCCTGTAGAGCATTGTAATAAATAAATAAATAAATAAATTACTGGTTCCTTGTCCAAGACTGGTGCCACTACCCTAATTCGTTTTTTTTTTTTATTTCTTTAGCCACTTCTTCATGGTAAACGCCAAGCTACAGTCTAATAGTTCGTTCTGTATGGTCTTAGAGGTTTAAATACTGTTGCTTTGTTGAAATGTTCCTTTAAATCTGCATCTAATTCAGAAATAAAATCTATCAATTCTCGGAACACTCCTTTATTTTTGGATTCTTCGGTTTCATCATGTCCGCGCAATGCTAATTCCAACGCATCACAAAATTTAATACAGTTAATAATGATATTTAAAATATATCTGTTTTCATCAACTTGTTTATTGTGGGTAATAATACAGGGTGGCGCAAAATGAACGTTATGATTTGAAGGCTTTACAACTTTTTTATTTATAAATTTATTTTCTCTTTTGTTTCATAAATTTGTAAAGAAGGCTTGGGGAATTTAAAATGAAGCAATATACCATAGAACAAAGGACAAAAATCATCGAATTTTATTTTTCAAACGAAAAGTCAGTTATTCTGAGGCAGCGTGCGTATCGCCGACATTTTAATGTGCGGGTTGGACCGTCAGTGCCTCAGTGCCAACAATCATTCGCTTGGTTGCTAATTTTCAGCAACAAGGTTCAGTAAGGAACCGTCCTGGTACCGAAAGACCACGTACAGCGCGCACCGGCGAAAATATTTAACGTGTACGGGAGAGCGTGAAACATCGACGAGGAGACGTTCGGCACAACTTATCAAGGAGGCCTCTTCAAAGAATTTTGGCCACATTGCACATGTTTCCCTATAAAATCCAGCTGGTGCAAGAAATAAGGCCGACAGACTACTAACAGCGGCTTGATTATGCTGCTGCGTTGCAGCGAAAAGCTAGAGAAAATCGCGATTTTATTGACAATCTCATAATGAGCGGTGAAGCCCATTTTCATTTAAATGGGTTTGTCAATAAGCAAATCAGTAGGATTTGGGCTAGGAGAATCCAAGGGTGGTTCATCAGTGAGAGCTGCACCCACTTAAATGTACTGTTTGGTGCGGTGTATCGTCCGAAAGGATCACTGGGCCATATTTCTTCGAGAATGAAGTCGGTGCTGCAGTTACCATCAATGCTGCCCACTACCGAAACATGTTGGAAAATTTTTTGAGGCCAGCCATGGCAAACCGTCCTCAAATATTGTTTTAGCAAGACGGTGCTACGGCTCATACCGCAACGGACACACTGGTTTTGTTACGAGAGATCTTCGCGCCGAAGCGACTTTTGGCCACCGCGCTCGCCGGATTTGACCGCTCCAGACTTTTTTATTTGAGGCTATTTGAAAGAAAAAGTCTACGTTAATAAGCCACAAATCATCCCTCAACTAAAGGATAACATTCGCAATGAAATCCGTGCCATAACACCTGAGATCTTGCGAAAAGTCATGGAACATGTGTCGAAAAGAGCACGACTTAGCAGAAAATGGGCGACATTTGCGAGGCGTGAATTATTTCCCATTTATAGGCTACATTTTCATAGGACAATGTTGTAAATTTATTAAAAAATAAAAAAGTTACAAAGCATTTAAATCATAACGTTCATATTGCGCCACCCTGTATTTTGTCTATAAGCCGAATGTAATTGAATCAGTATATTTGATTTTCCAAGCAAAGAATAACTAAAAATATTATTTACATGTTACTGTTTTCATGTGTTTTAATTTTCTCATAAATCTGTACCAAATCAGTTACACCATGCATTGTCCACGAAGAATCGCCCCCGAACAAAACACACACAAAACAAAAAAATACGTTTTTTTTTATCACCTCCACAAATCCAGTTAGGTTTTAGGTACAAATTCCGGTTAAACTTTCTTATCCGGCCTTTGAAGTTTGACGAACTTGAGGTGGAAGCCTTTTGCATTTTTGTTATTTCTATACTACCAAATAGTATTTTATTGTTAAAGCAAACCAAAACATATTTATGTAATAATAGGTCAGATAAATGTTTTAGCGGTATTTTAGAAGAGGCAAAAATATTGCAGATATCGATTGCGACACTTCATTTTCTCTGGTTATTATTGTTATACTCCGGACAAAAAAACGTTTATTTAATTATACCCATGGTTTCATCGTATATTTTATAATATTTTTATCAATATGCTATTTACGCTGTTTAATAAATTCATTATAGCTTTGTTTAGGATATAACAGATCCCTCATTCAATTATTAATGGTTATTAACCAATTGTTTGTGGATAATTTTTTAAGAGTAAGGCAATACTGATCCAACTTTCAGTAGGTGAATAACCGCGCTCAAAAGCCACGGTGTCAATGAACCCGATCGACGACAACCAAGACGGTGTCTTTCACGCTCTTCGACACTACACCCAACCTTCAGACAATGTTGATTTCAACTTTGGATCTTAATCGTACCTAATTAAAATGATTTACTATCAATTAGGTATCTGCACATCTAAAAATACATAAAAAGGTGGTAGAAAAAGAAGTTCTTTCTATTTGATAAGTTATTTATTAGCCAATAGGTTTCGTAGTTATTACTTCATCATCAGGCACATTAAACCTTAATATCCATTACGGATTAGCTAATTTTTTTTGTAATTTCATTTAAATTCCAACGCCATTTTATCTTTTGTCTTAGTCCAGGTACGTGTAAAAGTGTTATTAACATTTTTTGTTAATTAATTGACTACCTACTTAAATTTTGTTCAACGTAAATATATCTACTAATTACTATGTTTAAAAATAACACATGTAACTGATCTTAGTCAACGGGATATTACCATCAGTAAAAGAAGTTTTTCCAAACAATTTTACCTTTCAGGATGTAAAAAATCAGTTTGGTATACTCGTAAATGTTTATAATAATTAATATTTATCACGCGACAATTATTCAGTTCATATGGTTCTAATAATAATAACACACTGGGTCAAAAACAACAACATAAAAGTTTTGCTATGGCCAGCAAAGCTGAGTTAAACCCTTCGAAAGTGTATGGAACTTCATAGTGAAAAATATACAAGAAATCTCGGAAGTTATTGAAAATGCTTGAAATTGTCATTAATAAAGCTAAAGTAAAAGGTATAGAACATAAGAGTCATAAGAAGAAACTAATAACACAAAAAATAATAGGAGATGATTGCAGGTATATTTGCGTTAACTAATGTTAAATATTATTTTTATTTACTGCTTTACTTTTTTTTTAGATGCAAACGCCTAAAATGTTTTCAAAACGTTTCGATTGAAGAACGTGAACGCTATTTTCCATAAAATGCATGACAAAAACGAACAAGACGCATACTTGGCTGGCCTAATAACAATCAATAATATAAACAGACACAGAAAACGGAATCGGATAAACAATAAACCACATTGTGCTTCATATTCATACAAAGTACGATGTTTTAATACAGAAAAGATGGTTTGTGTCAAAGCATTTGCCAGCATTCATGCAGTTACATTGCCCAGCCTAAAAAGAATTCAGTTGTCAATAGTAGAAAAAGGTTGTGCAACCAGAGATATGAGGGACAAACATACTTGCTGCCCTAGAAACTATAGCAAAGAAGCTACTATCCTCATTATGAATCATGTACCAGTGAAAGATATGCACAAGACTTTTCTACAGGGGTACTACCTTAACGTTCCCTACAAAATGTACTGGAAAATCTTTAAAACTAAATTTAATATTAAGTTTGGTTATCCCCGTTCAGACACATGTGCAGAATGTGACAAATATCAGCATACCTTGAGCAATAAGAGCATTTCGGACGCCGATAAAGCATCTTGCAAAATGCTGCAAAAAGCTGCAGTATTCACCAGCAAAAAACGTGCCTACAAAGAACAGGCTAGAGCAGGCGAAATTTCTTGTATTACTGCCACACATTCCTTCCAATCCAGTATTTTTTGCAAGACAAATATGGTATTACGTGTTTGGAATCCAAGATTTAGGCAGTAACGATGTAACAATGTATAATTAGACAGAAGATATAGCAAAGAAAGGATCAATCGACGTTGCTTCTAAGTTATTGAACTACTTTAATACCAATGATATGTCTAGAAATTTGGTTTTGATTAGTGATGGCTGTCTGAGTCAGAACAAAAACTACACCATGTTGCATTTTTTATGTGTTAGTTCATGGTTTTAATATGTTTGAATCTATAACTTACATGTTCTCTGTAACAGGTCATTCTTATCTTCCTAATAACCAGGATGTTTCCCTTTTTTCAAGAAAAAAAGTGAAAAATGGAAAGAGTTGAGACTCCAGAGGGGTGGGATAATGTTATTCTACAATCATGAAGTAAACCGTCACCTTTTAGAATTGTCAAAGTCAACCAATCCGTCATTTTTGACATAAAAAGTGCAACTGACAATTTTTTTTAAAAAAATCCAAAACCAGCAATTAACATAAAAAATTTAAGAATGTTATGAATTGAAAATACCAATTGTTGTGTACTCCTAAGAGATAGCTACACTGGTGCGAGGCGGTCATCGCTTGTAGCTTCAAGAATATCGATGCAAAAAGAAATACATTTAGAACATGCAAACATTCTGCCAATTCCAATGAAGAAAACCAAACTGGATACTCTAGAAAACCTTCTGCCTCTTCTACATAACCACAGCAACAAAAATTTTTATAATGACTTGATTAAAAACCAGAAGAGCAAAGAACTTGACACCGCTGCTGTGAATAATACTCAACAATGATGATAATAGCAGTGGCTGTGAAGACTGCTAAATTACTATTAAAAAAATTATTGTTCCTGTAACCCTGATAATGACCGTTTGGAAACCCTAACAGAGCTGGGTAGTCAAAACAGACTAACCTTAGCCAAGGTACGTTCACAGAGGACATAAGGGCAATGAAGAGGCTGATGTACTAGCCCGAGAAGGAGCTTCAAATGCTCTTATTGGCCCAGAACCATTCTGTGATGTAATAAAACCAACTATCAGAACATGCACAAAGCAGTGGATATTTAAAAAATCTTAGGAGTGGTGGAAAAACCAGGACAGAGGCAGGCCAAAGAGTTCCTAAAAGGACCATCGCCTAAACTCACCGAGCATCTACTAAGCCTTAATAGGAAAAATACTAGAGTACTAGTAGGTCTATTAACAGGGCATTCTAGGCTTGACAAACATATGTCTGACAGACGAGACCTTGTGCCGATTCTGTCAGGAAAAAGAGGAAACGGCAGAACACGTATTGTGCTACTGCGAAGGTCTAGCAAGACTGAGATTCCTTACACTTGGAAAAGAAAAACCAAGGGCAACTAGCTATACCGGAGAACTACTGCCCAGTCTATGAAGTCTACTACAAAAGACCGAATTAGACAAGATACTCTAAACAACGATTAAATGATATCCACAATAGATCTGAGAAGGTCGAGGTGGGGGAGGCCACATGGCCCACAGTCCTAATTTAATCTATATTACATAGGAACATTTCCAGAATTTTATTCAGGGATAATGAAATATGGATGTTTCTAATTTTGGTTTCGCGGCGACACTGACTGTATAGACTTTTTTAAAATTACTTTTTATCGGTTTAAATTTTTTTGTACAACTCCTCTAGGAACATGTCTCATTAACAAGAAATACACCCCACTTTCTATATTGACTTTTTTATGAACCACAAGTTTGCATTTCTACAGGGTGAGTTCTATTAGATAATATTTTCATATATGAAAAAATTTAGATCGAATTTGAGATAAACCTACTAGATATAATTCCAAATTAACATTTATACTCAAACAAAATGGCTGCCTTCCAGTTTTACCGAAAATGTCAGTAAATTTAATTTTTTAAATGAATCACCCATATATTTTTTAAAATCTGCAATTCAAATTTCATATAACAGTGTTGCCACATTTTCATTTATTTCAAAATTTTTATGAAAATTGACCCAATAAAATGACCAAAATTTACCACGGTATTTGAATGTCATTTAATGGTTCTAGAGAGTTTTTTGAAGATTTGACAACGCCGAGTTACCATCGAAGACGCTGCTAGCCGGGGCATGTGACATGGGCGTACAAGACTTGGTCGCGCCGTGTTCTTACTGACCCACTGGCACTGTCGCGGTCGCAAGCAGAGTCTCCAGATTCGGTGTTGGAGATGGTAATGGTAAGTAAAGATGGTAAGATGGTGCGCCGTATCGAGCGGTTTAATAGGCGTTTATTGCCGATCCGTAGCGTACTGCAGAACGATTCCGATATGCAGATTTCGTGCCTCAGGCGGTTCCGTATTCGCAATTGGATCAGAACCAATTAAATAATTGGTTATCAAAATATTTTGATGGTGTTTACAAACAAAATGTGACCAATATTAAATATTTTACCAATCTCACTACCACAAATAATCGTATAGAAAATATAAGATTTTGTAGTAATACATTTTTGAGTTTCCTATCAAATTGTCACTGATTTTCGGTGCCCTAACCGACAAAAAATAATTTTTATTTCGTTATATTAATATAACACTGATTATTATAACCTTAATAATATTTAATAAGTCGATAAAGTCTGGAATTTATCTCAAAATTACCGGTTTTTTTATCTTTCGGTGTTTTTAAAATACACACATCTCCAAAAGTCTTGGTCCCCTTGATGACTTTTACCGCGGTCAAAGTAATGTGACTATTTTTTGTGTATACATTCTTCATTATCTTATCATACATAAACACAACAGGTTGTAAGCGAAAAACTGCAACAAAGATCGATAATACAGACTATTAAGTTTTATTTTTGTTACGATATAACATTTTGTCCCAAAAAATAAAATTTTGTTACTTACAATTTTTGGACATTTTTTTTTTGTAATTTCCTTTATTCGGCATTATTCGAAAAGCAAATTACAAAGGTTGTGTCTCACATAGTTTGGTATTAAAACAAAGAATAACATTCACTGTATTTTCAAAATTAAATTTTATTATTTTTAAAAATACCTTGGGATGCCAAGACTTTTGGAGATATGTGAATATGAAAACATTTAAAAATCCAAAATAACAAAATTCATTAACTCTTTTTAATGATTCTTAATATTTTGAATTAATACTTTAGTTATGTCCACAGAATTACATTTTTCTGTTGGACGTTTGTGTTAAATTTGCCAAAATGTTGCCAAAATGTTTATTAGAAAAAATTAAAATTAAAAAATGGTATTCAATATAGAGCAAAAAGTAAAAAGTTGTTGCTTGGAATATATCAAAAAAGATTAGTGGGTTTCCTTTTTTTTTAACACTTAATTCTGAACAATATCACAATAATATACTTGACCTGTTCATAAATCAACTGGATTATCAGGAATGATACGTTGGGCGCCAATTTGTTACGCATAGACTGCTGTGCTAGAAGAGTTCGCTAAGTCCCTAGTAAGCTCTCGCTAAAAACAACCTCAGGACAATAGAAATAGATAAATAAAAACAAAAGTAAAAGTAATATAAACGTTAATAGTCGAATATCAAAAAAAATACTGTGTAAAAAAGGCGACGTGCTGAAATTAGTAAGTACCCTTAAACAAGTACCCTTAAACTACTAATTGATGAATCTTTATATACGTCAAGTACACAAAATGTTTTTACCGTTGCCTGATTTTATAATATTCTCAATTTGTTATAATTAGCACGGCGATTTTGCTTGATAATCATTTTTAAAGCTCTTAAGTTGGCATTGGAATATTGCGGATAATTTCCAGTTCTCGGTTTTTGAGCCACATATCCAGTTGTCCTCCATAATGCACACATAGACCACGATGCAAGTGTAGCATGGCTTACACGTGGGGATATCTTTCCTGAAACGGAAGGATTTCTATGTGCAATCCAAGATCAAGTCATACCCACCAAGTCGCCCTTAAAATACATAATCAAGGACAAAAACGTAACCTCAACTCAATGCCGAATGTGTGCCGAATCACATGAAAATGTAGAACACCTGATAAGCGGGTGCAAGGTTCTAGCACCGAAAGAATACGTAAACCGCCATAACAACGTAGCGAAACTTATACACCTAGAACTATGCAATAAACTTGGATTAGCAAATGAAAAAAGCCGTACTATAAATATACACCACAAACGATCTTGGAGAACGAGAGATACTTACTATATTGGGACAGAACAATTCAAACTGATAGGCCCGTCACTCATAACAGGCCTGATATAGTAATGTATAACAAGAAAGGGAAAGAAATAACCTTAATTGACATTGCAGTTCCGGCCCCAGCAAATATAGAAAAGAAACACAAGGAAAAGGTTACAAAATACTTACCTCTAGCAGAAGACCTACAACGAACATGGGGCGCGAAGAGAGTGAAGACAATACCCATCATAATAGGTGCTACCGGTGAAATCCCCAAAAGACTGAAGTCAGGACTTACTACTTTGGAAATATCTCCGACCATACAGCTGCAGCTGCAGAAGGCCGTCATCCTGGCAACATGCAACATAGTACGCAAGGTGCTGAACCAGTCTTCTAATTATAATAATAATAATAATAATTTTAATAATAATAGTTCAACATGTAATACATATTTGACATATTTTATCTTTATGACACCGTGCTAAGTTTAGTAATTCGATTTTTAAAATTGGTTCATTGAATTTAATATTTCTCTTAGTAAGCCAATGTGCAATCTTTACTTTTCTCCATTTGGTGGTTGGTAACTGTTCTACACGCCGGCTGTGGTATGGAGCGTTCTCCATAACAATAACAGATCCTGGTTCGATTTTCAAAAAGAATATCTGAAAACCATTTTTCATAATGTTCTGCATCCATTTCCTCATGATAATCTCCAGTATTTTTAGAAACAAATGCGTTTAAACCTTCTTCAACAAATCCGCTACCAATATGTGTAATAATAGAGCGTTTTCCCTACCCAGATGGGGGTTTTAAACCTTTTGATAAACCATCTATAAAAGCTTTATGTTTGTTTTTTTACATTTAAATCCTGTCAAATTTTTGTCA